TGGACTTTTACGGCTCATAAACTTCAGCTTCCCACATACCTTCCTATCTTGACTTGGCTTTAAACATTCTCCTGGCTTAATTTTACCTGGAGCTCCCAATAACAGCTACCATGACCTCCCAGCCAGAGAAGGAGAACAAACAATTTGCTCTAAAAATTTTACAAGCAAATTTTAACACTGGACACATCAAAGTATGTACGGCTAAATCTAATATCATTTGCTATTAAAATTATACCCACATAATTTTGGGAAATTCCTATAAACAAATGTGTCAGGCATAGCCGGTCTTCCTACCACCACAATGCCATCATGCACACATTTTCAGAAAACAAAGAAAATCATTCACATTCTCAAGGATGATTTCTGAGGCTCAAGTGAATACTGAGTTCTCTTTGAACGATTGTAGTGTAGAGCCCCCAGACACTCTCCATAAGGTTTGTAATTGGCCCTTACACTTTTATCTTTTCAAACACAGAAATGTCATCTTTTGCTCCAATTCAGTTTTGGTTGTACCTGGCCAAAACTTTGTAATATAGTTCCTTGTTTTGAACAACGATATGTGAAAAATAAGCTAATATATTGAAATGTACTGCCTGTATATGAAAAAGCCTTCATCAACTGGCATGTAGGGGAGCAAGGGTGCACTGGTTTGCAAGATTTTTCAAAAATGTATCCCCTTTCTTGGAAGTCTCATGTAAATAATACTTCCGTGTTTTTATAATTGTACCTGTTTATCTATTCATTAGGCACTTATAGAAAAAGAGCAAGTGAACATTACTAATCTTCAATCTAAATACGTTGTCATCCAACCTCTAAAGTAAGTTCAGAAAAGCAAATTATTTACTTACAATTATAATTCACATAACCAATTAAAATTTACATAAAATAATTTTTCATCACCTTGATATACAAAGAAAGTATTAGGCCTGAAAGTTAAGGTAAATATAGGTACTCAAATGTAGTTTTGTAAAATAATAAGACATTTCACAATCTGTGTTATTTTAACCAATCTTAAAGAGGTAATGATATAATCAATATCTTAAGTTGTTTCTGGAACTATTAGCTAGCAAAATAGACCTAGATGGTAGGCTGAATCAACTTGTTTCCCCTTATATAAATTGAGGTTAAAGTCTATATTTGAAAGCAAGAATACAAAGAAAACCTAAGAAACTTTTAGGAAATTAAATAAAATTGATTAAAAGCATTAGCATTTGGTAATTACTCCCACCTGGGACCTGTCTTCTTGTTGTTTGTCTTTTATTATTTTTTAAATTTAGTGATGACCTCTATCTACTCCTTTCTCACAGCTAAGTGATCAAGAAAAATAAACTCAACTTATATCTAAATATGTCTGCTTGAGAGAATTTTTTCAAATACAACACAATCCGTGTTTGGAATGATTTTCCATTGTTCAGTAGATTTATTAGTTAAATTAAACTGCAACCCCAGATAGCAAAAATATAACAACACTCTACAGTGTCCAATGTGCCTTGTAAACCAAGGTAGCTACAGATAATGTACGTGTTTTTCAAAATTATTTCTGAAGGTTTTGTCTTCTTTTTGAAACTTTATGCTCACAACTCTTTGGTGAAGGATTTGGAATATCTTGGGTCAGTTTCTCATGGTTTTTCTGTGTGTATTAGTAACGCACATATGCAATATGGGTGGACACCAGCACAAGCACCTATCAAGAGTAACCAGCTAAAGGTACTGAGTAGTCAAACACTTTCATCTAATGCAAGAACTAAGTACCACAGCTTGTTAGTTCTTATTTAACTCAAGCATGACCTGGGAATTTTTTTAAATGATGTTCAGGTCCCACTTTTGACCAACTAAATTAGAATATCTGCAACTAAGGGCCAGAATTTGCATGTTTTAAAGGCTCCTTGCATGATTGTGAATTACAGCCAAGTTAGAACCACTGAATTAAGTTAGGAACAAGAAATTAAAAATAAGCTTCTTCTAATTTTGATGTTGCATGCTTCTAGTAAAAGAAGGTGAAATATTTTATTATAATATACTATAATGATACATTACCTTAAATGTTTAATTAAAAATGTTTGAAATTTGTTTTCTAAAAGCCATATAATTTCAAATATATCAATAAACCTCAATGCATACTGAATTTCTTTAAGGGTAGAAACTGTCTCTTATTGTGACAAATAGTACCTAGTATGTCTAGTTTTCTTAATTAAATAATCATCAGTTACTCCCATCTGGTTTACAGAGTACCACAGTGACAATATCAAAGATACAAAAAAAAGGACTTTCTTCAAATTGCTTCTTTATTCAAAACCACACACTTGTTATCTTTCCCTCTATAGTTTATGATTTCTTAATTTCAAAACCATAGATGGGATTATCAGGTTAAATGCTCATGGTCTTTATGTTCACTATAAATTTACTGTCATTAACAGCACCTTGGAATGTCACTTGTGGTGAATAATCTATATATTCACGTCATGCGTGATTATCAAATAATATACACAAAGTACAAATGTTCTAAATTCTTAACTAAGCAAATAAAATAACCTGACATCAGTAGAATTATTTTATTAGACATTGGAAGGAATAATATAAACAAATAAAAGCCTGAAGACTTGAATCTTTTGGCTTATTTGTGAAAGATCATGGTAATCAGTAATATTCTGTCATTCTTGAACTTTTCATAAGCATAGACTCTGTCTTATTCCGTTATAACTCTGACCAGTGCCAGAAGAATAGCAGACACTTAAAAGATGATTACTTGAATACTTTAAAAAGCCTAAATATATAACATAATTAATATGGTAGGACTAGACTATGTAGTTTCAGACATTTACAAGTATATATTGTAAAAAATCCAAAGTTCATCACTGAATTTGTGTCATTGATTACTATTTGCATTATAAAAAAAAGAGTTCAAAATGTTCTCAATTTACAACCAGCTAATTTTCCAAGGTCAAAGTGGTGTTTAAATTTATTTCCCTTTCTAACAAAATTCAAATACTGGGAGGAAATAATGAATAACTATAGGAATCTATGTTAAAAATGCCAAATTTCCAAAATACAAAATATACTTAATTGCAACAGCAAGCATAGGCTATCTCTGAATTACTATTTAAATTAGTATATGGATTTAGGTTTAAAATAACACTGATAGTTGTTATTTGTCTTTGATTCCTGTATCATTCTTAAGTTTTCATATCTATAATGTCAATGTGATTATCGCTTCATTAGTTTCTTGAAATCCTATAATTATGCCACAAAACAAGAATATTTTAACTGAATTTATCCATCAAAAATTCAATACAATTAAGTCAGTTGAGACTGACATAGTCAAACAGCAAAAGGTAGAGAATAAAATTCTGAATGTTGTTAATAAGGTCAAGAACTTTCCATATGTTCTCATTCATAACGTCTGTGTCCATAAGGCTCTGAAGCATATGGGTGAAAAGTGAAAAGTACAGATATTTGTCTACTACTTGTTATATACCGTGCAAACAATCAGCTGTATGGAACTGTTCTGGTGTTGAACTGAGCTTTTCACTTCATTTAAAATGTTCTCGATTTTGTAAAACAGTATCGTGTGTTTTAGTAACTTGAGAAGGCTGTGTGTCTACTTTGGCATTTCAGATAGTTTTATTTTTACATTCCTTGGTTGCAGCAGGCATTTGTTAGCAGTTCGGATATTTTTCTGATCTTCAAAATCACAACCACAAAGTCTTCACTTTAGTTATAAAGTATACCTAGCTGTGGCCCCTGAAATTGAGGAGGATGAGTTTCTAGTTACTCAGTAGTGACTTTAAAAAAATGTAAAGTCGGCTAAACTTCAAATTCATTGGGATTGAAAAGTTTTCGATTATTCTAATTATACTTACAATAATTTGTTTATTAATTTTGAAAGGAAGTATGAGCGAACCCCTTAAAAATAAAATGCAACCTACTAATTGTGAAACTTTCTGGGATTTCCAAGTAAGTAGGTTTAAATTAATTTACATCTTCCAGAATCCTGATTACCGTAAAAAATGTATACCTTAAGAATTAAATTTCTCACACTGTAGTCACAGAAAATAGTTGCTTGTATGATAGACTCCCACAGAAATATTGTTAGATGTCTGAAAACAGCCTTTCGAAACTAGGGCTATTGCAGTGTAGACTTTAATTAGAAAGAAACTATGAGATAAATAACTCTCTCCTGCTAAGAAACCTGTATATAGGTGGGATTTCCCATGATTCACAGAGTGTGATGAACACTTACTCATAGTAGCCCTCCCCCTAGACATTCTAAATTAAAGCAGAAGATAAAGTTTTAAAGAAAAAGGAATTGACATATCAGTCAATGCTGACCAAAATAACATAGACTTTTAATAAAATTAGCAATCAGTTTTCCTCTTTAAAAGACTCGTAAGTGACTAGTATAGAAAGATTAAATGTTGTAAATTTCAGATTTGGTCCTCTACTCTGAGTTGTAAAGGAGAAATAGCTAGAAAATAGAGCTTTAATATAAAAGAGTAGCAAAAACAAGAGTTAATCCATTACTTTTCGTATCACTAGTTTGACAACTGAATTTAAGCAAAGCATGATAAAATGAGTCAGAAAGATAGTAAATAAGTAATATTGTCAAGATTTGAACGCCGACAATTTTAGCATTTGGACATTATAGACATCTTCTGGTAATATGTTTTTCACAGTTGACTTGTAAAATCACGAAATAGTGGTATGTGCTTTCCAAAAAATACTTACTGGATTATTTAAACCAATTTAAAATTACTGTATTTGTTGTAAATGTTATGAATCCTCACTTCTTTGAACAATTATGTTTCTGAGAATTGTGGAATTTCCTAAACCACAATGTATTGAGGGAGGTACTCCTGAGTGGGCTCCTTCTCTTAGCTGTGTGGTTGTTTATGTGGTTCTTTCCGACCTCTATTTCTACAGGAGAGGCGAGAGTTCTTGCTAAATGCAGCGGGGTATGGGAGGAGGATCAGGTACCGTAGCTGTGAAACCTCTGCTCGGGCATGCGTTTTGGTTTTCACACGGCCGGGTTAAGGAAACAAATTTCAACGATTTGTGCATTCGTAAGTCTCGGGTGTAATGCATTTATCTCTGTGTCTAAAACGATCTTTGCACTGAGTAATCCTGTTTCGATGAGAGAGTAAGTCACTGGATTTTACTTATCTTTGGTTCATGTTGGCAGGAGGCAGGCCCCTAATTACCACCGAGACCCATCCAGGCAAGGAAAGTAATACACAGTAATCACATCGCGTATACGTCGAGTCCCAGGGAGAGCAGGGCTCTCAGGAAGCCGCAGGAAGCGTGCGCTTCCAGGAGGGTGTGCGACGCGCGGGGGTCCGCACGCGCGCAGAGCTAGTTAACGGAGGGCGTGCCGGAGGCGTGGCGCGGGGTGCCCGGGCCAGGCGCTCCGCGAGGCGGGCGGCCGTGGGCGGGCAGGCGGCGGGGCAGCGCGGCCCGGCCCGGGGAAGGCAGCGCGGCGCCGCGAGCGGCTCCCGGCTCCCGCTCTCCCGGCCGCCCAGCCCGAGCGCCGTGGGCGGGGCCTGCGGTGATTGGCGGGCGGGCGGGGAGGTCGGAAGTACTTTGTTTTTTATGCTAATGAGGGAGTGGGGCTTGTCCGTATTTACGTTGAGGCGGGAGCCGCCGCCCTTCATTCACCCACATGGTCCTTCGAGGTGCCGCCGCCGCCGCCTGACCTGCGCCTTCGCGCCACTTCGCGCCCTCGGGCGAGGCCGAGGGGGTGGGGACGACCCCCGCCGCGCCGCCGCTGCTCGCGCGCCTCGCGAAGCCCCTCCGCGGGGCGGGCCGGCCGGCCGGCCGCACCCCCGGCCTGGGGCCTCCGGTCGTAGTAAAACGGAGGCGGGTGGGGAGGCGGGAGCGAGAGCCCGCGGCGGGCGAGGCGAAGATGGTGGCAGCTACTCCTCCCGGTGAGTCTGCCCGCCCCTCCGCCGACGGAGGGAAACCTGTTGTGTGCGGCCCGGGGCCGGAGGGCGGCCGGGCGGGGCGGAGCGGAGCGGCCCGGGGCGGCGTGGCGGCGGCGGCGTGGCCGGGGGCCGGGGCGGGTCTCGGGCCGTTGGCCGCCCTGCCTGCGGCGGCCGCGGCTTGCTGCCCCCTGGCTCGCACGCGGGCGGGCCGAGGGGCAGGGCCGCGGCGGCCGGGCGAGTGGGAGGGGGCGGCGGCCGCACCCGGCCCCGCGCGGACCCTGCCTGGGCCGGCCCGGCGGGCGGCCGGGCGGGCGCGCGGCGCACACAATGGCCCCTCGAGGAGGAGACGCGCGAGGCCCGCGCCCCCTCCAGGCTCGGGGTGCACGCGGGACGCGGGGGCCCCGGCAGGGAAACTTTCTCTCGGGGGCGAGAGTTAAAGCGCCTCCAGAACAAAGCGGCGGCGGCGGCAGCACATGGGGCAGGCCGCGGGCCGGGAGGGGGCGCGCCCACGAGGTACCTGCGCGCCGGCGGGCGGCGCGGCGGGGGCGGGAGCCCGCGGCCCCCAAACTTTGTGCGCGGGCGGGCGGCGGCGGGCGCGGGAGCTCGGGGCGTCGCGGCCTGGGCGCCACCCCCACCCCGCGTGGGCTTTGTTACCCGCGTGGGCAGCCCTCGGGCGGGGCGCGCAACTTCCCGATCCGCGGCCCGCGGAGCAGGCCTGGGCGGCCTCGGCGGCGGCGTGGAGGCGCCTTCGGCCGCCCACCGGCCGGGAGCGCGGCGCGGGAGGGCCGGGCCGGCTCGGCGGGAGCGGCGGCCGCGCCGCCATGTTCCTGCGGGGCGGGCTGCGCGGGGTGAGGGCGGGGGACATGGCGGCGACTGCGCGCCGCGGCCGATTGTTCCCGGCTTAGGCCTCGGGCCGCGTGCGACGGGCACCGCAGTCGCGGAGCCTCCGCCCCTCTGGGCCGGGCGCGGGGGGGCTGGGGGACACAAAGGAGGGGCGGCGCGCCCGCGTCCCCGCCGCGCTCGGGCCTCGGCGCCGCCGGTCGCCGCGCGGCTGCCGCCGGGAAACGGGTGGGGGGAGGTTGCCGCGTCCAGCAGGGCCCAGCTCTGACCCATCGCCCCCTGGCGGCAGCGCGGGGAGCCGCAGGGCCGCGCGCCCCCTTGTGCGACATGTGCTGCCGGCCCGGGCTCCATGAGCGTGGCGGGCACTTTACAGTCTCGGTTGTTCCTGCCCCCTTTTCTGTTCCTAAGTCGGAGCAAAGGGGACGGGAACTGGAGACGGCGGGCTGGTTTCTGCAGTATCACCAAAAAAAAGACCCAGATTAGCAATATGCCATCCGGACCACATCAGTTGGGGAAACAACTCTTTATCCCGGCTTGCAGCCACGAGGTCTTCATTGGGGGAGGGGTGGTGAAGAATAGTCCCTTTGCTGCTGCTCTTCGCTGGCACAGGAGCTGTACAGCAGAGTTAACGATTGCTGTTGACCATGTTCGAGTATTTCAGGATCTTTTTACATAAGACAAGAATTTAATGCCTGTGGGTTTTTTTAAACTTTATTCTCTTAGACGTTTTCACCCATACATTGTTGGTGTTTTAAACCTTGCTAGTACTGCCTGGCTAGGTTATCCTCGGTTTTGCAAATGATTGTAATGAATTAATATAAGGGGGTTGGGAAAGAAAATTTCAAATGTGAATTTGTAGGGTCGAAGTAATTTTGAGCAAATGTGTTTGTCTTTTTTTCCTTATTTCCCCCTCCCCCATCCTAGTCATACACGTGGACCTAACTGCACCAAAAGCTTTTCTAAGGATCCTTGCTGGGAAGGAAGTTTTCCTGAGTGGGTAAGTGTATTTTAATTTTCTTTGTTAACTTTTCTTAAAAACAAATTTCTCTTGACTTTAATCTTTTACTTGAATAAATAAGGTGGGATTGGGTTTTCAAAGAGTGAAATAGGTATATTGTACTTTGTCCATTTACCTTTTCTAGAAAATTAACTCTGTATGGGTCAGCTAATTTTTAAGTTAGTGAAAGTACAATGCAAATATCCTTATGCATCTTTAGAAACTGATGCACAGTTTACAAAATGTAATTTTAGAACTGCTTTCAATTGGGCAATAAAATAGATCTGATTTGCAGTATGTTTTTAAGGTTTAAAATAATTTAAGCAGGATATTTTAAGTTCTACGACCAGTCGATATGCTTGAAATGTAGTCTGAAGAGTAATTTTATTAATCAATTTACCAAGTATTTGCTAATTGGAAACCGGAAGAAAAGGAAAATGTTTTGCCACGTGGAAGTGAAGATTTCCTCTAAAAGGTACTTGAGTCAAATTGCCCTGTTAATGCAGTAGTTCTCATTCATAATGCAGTCTGATTTTGACTTTTTAAGTCATGCCTTTGGAAATGGCCAGGCAAAGGAAGAGCCACCACTTCTCTTACAGTGTTAGGACGATGGTTAGTTATGGTTGTCTTATGAAAAAGGTTTTTCTTCCAATTGTAATGTCTAAATGTGCTTCTAAATGGAACTTGCAGGTTTGAGATAATTAAACTCATTTCGTTTTCCACCATTAGGCATTATGCTGGATTTTGTATGTTTTATAGCTGTTAGAGTTTGAGGTGTTATTCTGTCTAATTATTTATTTCAAATTTAGCAGGAATAAAGAGAACTTCACCTTGTAAACCTGAAGATTGTGACCAGTCAGAATAATGTCAAAGTGCTTACAGTGCAGGTAGTGATATATGTGCATCTACTGCAGTGAAGGCACTTGTAGCATTATGGTGACAGCTGCCTCGGGGAGCCAAGGGGGGCTTTAAAGCGCAGGGCCTGCTGGTGTTGAGTGCTTTTTGTTCTAAGGTGCATCTAGTGCAGATAGTGAAGTAGATTAGCATCTACTGCCCTAAGTGCTCCTTCTGGCATAAGAAGTTATGTTTTCATCCAATAATCCAAGCCAAGCAAGTATATAGGTGTTTTGATAACTTTTTGTTTGCAGTCTTCTGTTAGTTTTGCATAGTTGCACTACAAGAAGAATGTAGTTGTGCAAATCTATGCAAAACTGATGGTGGCCTGCTATTTCCTTCAAGTGATTTTTACTAATTTTGTGTACTTTTATTGTGTCGATGTAGAATCTGCCTGGTGTATCTGATGGTGACAGCTTCTGTAGCACTAAAGTGCTTATAGTGCAGGTAGTGTTTAGTTATCTACTGCATTATGAGCACTTAAAGTACTGCTAGCTGTAGAACTCCAGCCTCGGCCTGTCGCCCAGTCAAACTGTCCAGTTACTGAACACTGTTCTATGGTTAGTTTTGCAGGTTTGCATCCAGCTGTGTGATGTTCTGCTGTGCAAATCCATGCAAAACTGACTGTGGTAGTGAAAAGTCTGTAGAAAAGTAAGGGAAAATCAAACCCCTTTCTACACAGGTTGGGATCGGTTGCAATGCTGTGTTTCTGTATGGTATTGCACTTGTCCCGGCCTGTTGAGTTTGGTGGGGATTGTGACCAGAAGATTTTGAAAATTAAATATTACTGAAGATTCACCTTCCACTTTTAAATGTTCCAGAGATATGAAGTATATGAATACAAATCTTTGTAATTTTAATTACTTTGTCAGTGTAAAATTCATACAACTTTTTGTTCCTTGAAATTGTTGTCATATTTTTGTTCTAAAACATTCTGCTTCTAAGGTTGCATGTCAGATTTGACTATTAAGATTTTACTGTATTTTTGGTTGAATTAGATTAATTTGATAATCAAGTATTCTATTATGATTGTGTCTGTAAAGGAAATGTACGTTAATAAATGCATGATGATAATCTGTAAAGTTTAAGGATTTGCTTTTTTTGGACCTGATGTTTTACTTAATCTGAAAGGTAGTGAGTTATGTTACTTGTACATTGTTCAAGTATTTAAATCTGGTGAAAATGCTATTCTGTTTAAAGCAATGTGTAAAGAAAGCTTTTAAGCTTTTTTTTTCTTTTTCTTTTAAAGCATGGAATTTAGATAATGGGAGGGGAGGTTGTCTTTTGTTTCTAGTAAACAGATAACTATTTTACCAGTACTGGTGTTCTTGATGTGTAACTGTTAACTGGTTATGTACTAGTTTTCATAGTCATTGTTAATGATGTGTAAACTGTTAGTGATCTGTAGACTGTTCTTAGCTTTCTGGAACTTAAAAAATAGAAGTTGAAAAGAAAACAAGGCATGCCGACGATAAATGAAGTGATAGATACGTGTATATGTTCACATCTCTAATGCCAAGAGTGTTCCTGGTGTCTTCAGAAACTACTTTCGCAACAATGACAGTTGGTTCTAGGCTTATGTGACTTAGGTCACTGGAGTGGAACCTAAGAAATGGCAGTTACAGTATTTTTTCCAACGTTTCTGCCTTTTATTGTGTTTTGTCTCTAGCCTGGGTTTCACATATATATAAAAATGTGGGTTAACTTAAGAATGATCAGATTTAAAAGGATCACTTGTTAAATTGGACTCAAGTAGAATTTTGGAGGAAAGATGCTATCTTAGTAACAGGAAATTTCCATAGCCTTATTTAGTATACCACCTGATAAATTTGAAAAACATTTTTTAACTATGTTATGTGAACTCTAACAAAAGTTTAACCTCTAATGTATCCCTTCTTTGAGAAATTTAAGGAGTTCAATTATGGATTCCCTGAATAAAAAGGTAAGAGTTTCACAGTTCTGGAGTTGATTAAAAGGTGAATTTTCAGAATGAGAAAATATTAAGGATTATGTAGTGATTTATAGAATGAAAATCTAATTGTCCTTTAGTTTGAGTTCTTAAACCTTTTGAATTGAAGGAAACCTAAAAATTGTTTTGTTTTGGTTATTTAATGACAAACATGGCTTTAAACTAATGTCAAAAGTCTCAGTGTTAGCATCGCTTACAGTAGTCTGCAAAATGGTGCACTGTGGTTATAAGTGAGAAAAGTTATGTTTACATCTGTCAAACCATGAAAGCTTTTGGGGAAATACTCTTGCATTATTCTTTGAAGTGGAAATGATAAGAAACCTGCCAGTTAATTTAAGATGCTAAAACGTAAGTCAAATAAATGTTAATAACAAAATCTTAAGAAAAATGGTTAACTCTCACCCCCTAGATAGTGAATCTCTGTGGTACTTGTGTTGAGAACTTAGTTGGACTTTACATGGGACTTGTATCTAGTAAACAAACTAATAAATGTGTGTGGTTTATTGTGGGGTTGACAGTGGGGGCTGGTGTTGTATATAGGGTTTAGTAAGACTTGCATTTCACTTGTATCTGGCTTTAAAATGTGTGGCAGTTTTTATGTTCTTGCTTCTGTTAAGATTTTCTTAGGCATGACAACATAGTTTTCCAAGTAGCACTAAAAAAAAGCCATGTAGGTTAGTTCTCAACTGATTTGTTGCCTGGATGAAGTAAGGCTTCGTCTTGTAATATTTTTTATCACTGTTGTCTTTATTTTGTTTTCTCCAGAGTTTCAAATCCCCATCTTTGCCATCCCTAGCGGGCGGGTGGTCGTGCAGTGTACACAATGGCCCCTCGAGGAGGGGGCTCACGAGGCAAATAAAGGTTGACATTAGTTTCGCTATTTTGAGATACAAATAAGTGAACAAGTTGATTGTTGCTGATAATTGTTTCATCTCTAATTGACCTTGGAAAGAACAGTTTGGACCTTTTTTCTGTGTTTTAACCCTGAAATTGCTTATGACTTAGAGTGCTGTCACTTCAGGTTTGGTGGCCTTCAACAACTATTTTTAGGAAAAATTTAACTTCATTCTTTTGCATGTTATGTATGTACAATTCTCTAGTCTGTTTAAAAGGAAAGAACTTAAAGGATTTACAAATTATTCTTTTTCAAAACTGCTTGCAAAATATTGGTGATTTTACTAAAAACTTTGAGATCTTTATTTTACAGGCAAACCTATCTAAGCAGAGCAAGCCAGACTTGGGTTTTTCCTGTAGTTTGAAGAGCCCTACAGAATGATTCCTGACAAAATGCAACCTGCAACTGCCTGGAGATCAATTCAGTGAGACATTGAAGTTTATTATGTATTTAATGAAATACCATTTTCCGTAATTGACAACCCGGTGTAATTTGTCTGTTAGAGAACTAGGAATGTCTGAGCTGAGCACTAAAGGTAAGAAGAGCTCAGTGTAAAGGCCACTTTTTGGTGTCTGACTGGAAATGAGATCATCATGCCTACTTGAGACTTCACACATTGTTCTTTGCTTTAGAGGTTGTTTTACAGTTTACATTGCGCTCAAAGTCTGAATTAATGTAGTTTTCTGTTTGGTAAGTTCAGAATGTAATATTTTTAGTGAACTTTGAAGAATAACCAGGATGGATATGTCTCCCATGAATTTGAAGACCACAGAAAAATTGTTAAAGAAGGTTTAGTTTTGTTTTTCCAATAATTTGAACACAGACATAGCATTCAGAGATGCCTACTTTTTTCTTTTTGAAGATTTTATTTTTCCTTTTTCTCCCAAAGCCTCCCAGTACAAAGCTGTGTATTTTTGGTTGTGGGTCCTTCTAGTTGTGGCATGTGGGACGCCGCCTCAGCGTGGCTTGATGAGCGGTGCCATGTCTGCGCCCAGGATCTGAACCAGTTTCCCCTGGGCCGCTGAAGCGGAGCGTACAAACTTAAGCACTCAGCCATGGGGCTGGCTCCCAGGGATACCTGCTTTTGTATCTGCAATTTAGTTATGCTGTTTGAGTTGTTTTAGTGCATTTAATGTAAATAAATATGCATTTTAAAACTGCTTGTTAAGAAATTGTCCAGAATGAGCATATTGAAATAAAAGTCTTAAAGTTATTCTTAGTTGTGGCAGTTTTTCTGGTGGGGTTTTTCTGTTTGTTTCTTTGTGGGTTTTTTGGTATTTTTTTCCTGTAAATGATCTAAACATCTTTGCTTGTTAATTGAGGTAATTAGGGAACTGGGGTCAGGTACATGAGTGAGTGACCTGTATTATTTTACTTCGGTATCTGTGCCATCTGTATTTGTATCCTAATTTTACAGATGAGAAAATGAGATCAGCAAAATTTATTTACAAGAAGAATATAAAACTGGTAAATGGACTCTGAACTTGTGTCCATAGTCACTATATATAAAAAAGGGTATGCTTTACCTACTATTTTGAATCTGACAGTTGTTCAAATCACACTTGAACTTACTTAATTTGGAGATTGATTTCGCTTTCTGTATATTAACTTAAAATCTGATAAGGGCTCCATGTATAAACTGTTTGTTTATTTTGAATTATAGATCATGGGCACTTAAAATCCAGTCAGCTGAGAGTTGACTAATTTAGTCAAGTCTAAGGCAGCTCTGTTTGGTTCTTACTGGGATATTGTACACGTTAAGGTTTTTTTTACCTATTGATACATTAAAGTTTAAGGGGAAACCGAAGTGTGAAGTATCTTAACAGTTTTCAATAAATACCGAAATATTTGTTGACGTTTCTTAATGGACCTGTACTGTATTTGAAACAAATTGAGATGAATTCAGCAATTTCTGAGTGTTCAAAAAACTTAGTAAATATTTTTATAAAAAGGTACTAAGTTGTACTTGTGGCCAGTAAAGCAACTCTGAAGCAACAATTTAGTCTTCTGCAGTTTTGAGTACTTAAAAAGGGTAAATGCCAACTAAAATGCAGGTTGTCATTAATGGGGCATGTAGCCAACATGACATGTAGGTAAAGAACAAAAACTTGAGGTTGGTAGTGAAGGGTACCTGATCAAATGTCCGATGCAGTGTCTCCATTCTTAATTGCAAAGCTGCATGATTACTTAACACCAGAGGCCTAAATTTTGGAGCATGTTCACTTAATAGAGAAAATGAATGTGTCCCTGTTCACATGTTTGTAAGTTGTATACTATGAAATTTTTAATGGATACAATGATAATGTTGATTTAAATAGACTAAAAGACATTGAAAGGTTCTTAAATTGCCCTGGTAATGAAATCACTCTTTACTTAGTTGAGATCTAATGATCTGTATGGGAATACCACTATTCAACAGATTGTGGGAGCTGGGACTTCTGAATGTTGTAAGGGTAGTAGATGAAAATTAGCAACATTTGGGTCAAGTATGTATGCCCCTTGAGCCACTAAGTGGCTTTGGGCAGTGCATCAAGTCCTGTTAACATCCTCACACAAAGTCAGGAATGCAAAAGCCACCTTCAGTGAAGACCGTTGTTGGATACATTTACAAGATAAGGTTCTTAACCACATTTGGACATTATAATTAGCCAAAGACACAGATAAGGTATATTTCTAAGATATAGAAAGATAATATTTAAAAATAGTCCTGGAGTTTTAATCTAGATGCATTAGAATCTTTGGGGAGTGAGTAGGGCTGGATGCTGGGAACACAAGCATTTTGAGAAATCTTGATTTTGGTGTATTTAAGAATATGACTACTGCCCATAATTGTCCAAAATGATGAGCCCTAGGAAGAACATGGCAGAATGCTGGAGAACATCAGAGCAACACCTCGGAATTTGTGGAGGTAAGATGCTCACTGAATAGGACTAGAGAACAGACTGTTTGATGTACTTAAGTTTTATAGTTGACTGTTTTGCTTGGCATGACACCTTTCAGCTGGTGCCAACCTTCTATTTGCTTCTGAATCCACAGGCTTTTCCTCCCAGCTTAAGGTAGTAGTACTCTCCTCTGCTCCAATGGTAACTTTGTTTTGGTACCAGCACCTAGTATACCAGGTGTGTAATTGCCTTTGCTGATTGGATTTCTTTGAGGGTTGGCTCTTCTGATCACGCTGGTCTATAGGTTCACTCTGGACAAGTAATTTTCTGGTCGTCTTCCAGACTAACACCTCACATGCTTTGATATCTCTAATTTCTTCTGAGTTTAAATAGGATGTTAGTTCTGCCATGTTCTGAACATTTCTGGTCTTTGACTTTTGCCTTGAACTCTGCTTTTACTCGTAACATAATAGACTGCTTCTTCTAAAATATGAAACTTGATTGAGTCACCAGCTAACTTGTTTATCTCCTCTATACAGTGGCTTTTGGCTGAAGGGCCCTGCGTGTGTCATCCCCACCTTTTACTCTCTCCAGACTGACGTTTTCCTCATGGACTTCGCACTTGCTCTTACCTTTGCTTGGAACCTCCCCTCCCCCTGCCCCATACCTACATATAATTTAATCTTGTTTACTTCCAATCTGCACAAATGACAAGTCGTACTAGCTCTCCCTAACTGCATACTCGTCCCCTTCCCTGGGTCATTTTTCCTAATAAGAAACTAGTAATACCTGGGATCTTCCCCAAAGCTAAATTGGCATCTGTTTTTTTTTTTTTTTTTTAAGATTTTTTTTTTTTTTTCCTTTTTCTCCCCAAAGCCCCCCGGTACATAGTTGTATATTCTTCGTTGTGGGTCCCTCTAGTTGTGGCATGTGGGACGCTGCCTCAGCGTGGCCTGATGAGCAGTGTCATGTCCGGGCCCAGGATTCGAACCAACGAAACACTGGGCCGCCTGCAGCGGAGCGCGCGAACTTAACTGCTCGGCCATGGGGCCAGCCCAAAATTGGCATCTGTTTTTAAAAAGATTTTGTGCCCCTCATTCTCTAGGATGCTCCATGAGGACAGGGATTTGAAGGTGTTTGGTTCTGATACGTATTCAGCACCTTAAACAGTACCCAGCATGTAGACAGTCTTTGATGAGACTTGCATAAACCAGTGGAGGTGCCTGGCGGGGAACTGCAAGAGTGAGGCAGGCTCAGCGGAAGTTAACAGCAAAAACAGAAGAGGACATTGGTGCTAGTACCTATGGGACTTAGGAAAGAATCATTGTAAGGTGCGTTGTTGACAACCTTATCAATTATCTGGTAGGATTAGAGTAGTGTTGGTGAGTAGGAGACTGGTAAGTAAGGGATTTACAGTATCCAGAAATTCTCTAGAGAAAATGAGCCTAAGTTCCTGAAGGGTTAAGAAAATAGAAAACCTCTTCTATGTTGTATTTGCATGACAGCGTAACGGTGATGTTGAAAGTATGTAAATGTTGAACTCAATTCTTGAATCTCACAAAATGAGCAACCGACTTTCAGACCACCAGGGTAAAGGAGAGCACCCACCAAAGTCGACACTGAGGCAGGTGAACATGGGAGGTTGTGCTTAAAGGCAGGTTGGTTCTCAGCATGATTGTGTTCCCTGGATGAAGTCATTTTTTTTATCACTATTCTCTCTCTTTTATTCTCCAGAGTCTCAAATCCCCATTTTTTGGTTATGAAACAACTTAGTATTCTTAGAATATCATGGTGCTTAACCAAAATACAGTGTTCTAACTTTTGACTTCACCTGTAGCAGAAGGTTTCAGAAGTACAAGAAGTCCTATACTGGTATACGTGCCTTGAATAAATTTTGAGTTGTCTCTTTAGTGCCCTGGAATAAAAAAAAAAGCATCAGTAAAATCAGTAGCTTGAGGAATGTTCTTTGTGTGGTAAGAAAAGGGTGATGGTAAGGAGAAGTCAAAGGAAAACCAAGTACTTTCTCAGATTAATTTTAGGAAACTACATACAGAAATTGGTATGGCAATTGATTTCCTGAAAACTATGCATGCCTTTGTGTAGTTCATCTAGTCACCGGGCCCCAGCAATGTGTAAACTCCAATTTGAAAACTTCTTTTGAGTTACCACCTGGTGCTTGGCTAATTGGTTGAGAAATTTAAAGAACCACTTAAGGAGTCTTACGGTGTAATGTTTAAGAGGGAAACTTCCTGGTTCAAGTACCAGCTTCCCCCGTTAATGTAGTTTAGGCAAGTCATTTGTTTTTGGATTTCCCACCTTGGTCAGCAAGATAAATAGCTGTCATAGTTCCCCTAGTTCACATCCAGCGAAAAACAAGCCTCTGTCCGACCCACCTTCAAAACAAAGTTTCACTCAGCTGGGACAAGTTTAGGGGTCAGATCCACCGGAACTAGGCTGAGGGATAAGTTCATGTTCAAGCCTCATGCTTAGGCATCTCTTGTCAGTGACAGTGACAAAGTCGGCTTTCCCTCCCAGAAGAACACAGGCTACTTAGGCAGGGTGGTGGGGTGGATAATGGAAAGATGTACAATACAAATTGAGTACAATACTGAGGATTCTGGGAATGCGTTTTGGCTGGCCCCAAACATGATCCTAGTGAGGGGAGGGGTGGGAAGAGTAGGTTGGGAGTCCTCACAGGTCTCACCAGGTTAAAAGGAAGGTGTCTGGAGGCTCGTTGATTTGCCTTTTCCATCTTCAGGAACCTGCTGGGGGTCCTTGGCTCATGACTCCTTTCTCCATCTTCAGATCCAACAACAGCCAGCCGAATCCTTACATCACATTACTCTGACCTCAGCCTTCTTTTTCCACTTTGAAAGACACTTGTGATTACGTTGAACCCACACAGATATTCCAAAATCGTATTGTAAGGCCAGCTCATTAGCAACCTTAATTCCATCTGCTACCTTAATTCCCCTTTAGCATGTAAACTATTCAAAGCTTCTGGGGATTGGGACTCAGATATTTTGGGGGACTGTTGTTCTGCCTGCTTCACTGCCCCTCATCTTATGGGATTATGTTGGTTTTGGACATTATATATAGTCCCAGTATATGCAGACTTGCATAACTACTTAAAGCTTTGTTCAGCCTGAGCTTAGTAAAATTAGTGAATTAAGGAAAATACTTTTTAACAATCCAGTGAGAAAAAATAGTACAAACTCAGACTAAAGAGTTTTCCTCCCCAGTATCTAAAATCCAGCTTATAGAGGTTTGAAGAGAAAATGATTGTAAGTTCAGTGTCACTCTTGTCTTGCCTGAATGAAAGGAAGATTTT